TTGGGCTATTAGGCTATTAGGCTATTGGGCTATTAGGCTATTAGGCTATTAGGCTATTAGGCTATTGGGCTATTGGGCTATTAGGCTATTGGGCTATTAGGCTATTGGGCTATTAGGCTATTGGGCTATTAGGCTATTAGGCTATTGGGCTATTAGGCTATTAGGCTATTAGGCTATTGGGCTATTGGGCTATTAGGCTATTAGGCTATTAGGCTATTGGGCTATTGGGCTATTGGGCTATTGGGCTATTGGGCTATTAGGCTATTGGGCTATTAGGCTATTAGGCTATTAGGCTATTGGGCTATTGGGCTATTGGGCTATTAGGCTATTGGGCTATTGGGCTATTGGGCTATTGGGCTATTGGGCTATTGGGCTATTGGGCTATTGGGCTATTGGGCTATTGGGCTATTGGGCTATTGGGCTATTGGGCTATTGGGCTATTGGGCTATTGGGCTATTGGGCTATTGGGCTATTGGGCTATTGGGCTATTGGGCTATTGGGCTATTGGGCTATTGGGCTATTGGGCTATTGGGCTATTGGGCTATTGGGCTATTGGGCTATTGGGCTATTGGGCTATTGGGCTATTGGGCTATTGGGCTATTGGGCTATTAGGCTATTGGGCTATTAGGCTATTAGGCTATTAGGCTATTAGGCTATTGGGCTATTGGGCTATTAGGCTATTGAGCTGTTAGGCTATTGGGCTATTAGGCTATTGGGCTATTAGGCTATTAGGCTATTGGGCTATTGGGCTATTAGGCTATTGGGCTATTAGGCTATTGGGCTATTAGGCTATTGGGCTATTGGGCTATTGGGCTATTGGGCTATTGGGCTATTAGGCTATTGGGCTATTGGGCTATTGGGCTATTAGGCTATTGGGCTATTAGGCTATTAGGCTATTAGGCTATTGGGCTATTGGGCTATTGGGCTATTAGGCTATTGGGCTATTGGGCTATTGGGCTATTGGGCTATTGGGCTATTGGGCTATTGGGCTATTGGGCTATTGGGCTATTGGGCTATTGGGCTATTGGGCTATTGGGCTATTGGGCTATTGGGCTATTGGGCTATTGGGCTATTGGGCTATTGGGCTATTGGGCTATTGGGCTATTGGGCTATTGGGCTATTAGGCTATTGGGCTATTGGGCTATTGGGCTATTGGGCTATTGGGCTATTGGGCTATTGGGCTATTGGGCTATTGGGCTATTGGGCTATTAGGCTATTGGGCTATTAGGCTATTAGGCTATTAGGCTATTAGGCTATTGGGCTATTGGGCTATTAGGCTATTGGGCTATTAGGCTATTGGGCTATTAGGCTATTGGGCTATTGGGCTATTAGGCTATTGGGCTATTGGGCTATTAGGCTATTAGGCTATTAGGCTATTGGGCTATTAGGCTATTAGGCTATTAGGCTATTGGGCTATTGGGCTATTGGGCTATTAGGCTATTGGGCTATTGGGCTATTGGGCTATTAGGCTATTGGGCTATTAGGCTATTAGGCTATTAGGCTATTGGGCTATTAGGCTATTAGGCTATTAGGCTATTGGGCTATTAGGCTATTGGGCTATTGGGCTATTGGGCTATTGGGCTATTGGGCTATTGGGCTATTGGGCTATTGGGCTATTGGGCTATTGGGCTATTGGGCTATTGGGCTATTGGGCTATTGGGCTATTGGGCTATTGGGCTATTAGGCTATTGGGCTATCGGGCTATTAGGCTATTGTACTTGTCATGGATGGCGTTCAGATCAAAGAAGGTCCACACGGGTCATAGGGGGTCAAAGAGGGTCAACACAGGTCTTCAACTCACGAAGTCAGCCTCAACGACTGTGCAGGGCTCGTCCTTGTACTCGTCGTGAATGGCGTTGAGATCAAAGAAGGTCCATCCCGTGGTCTCGTCAAATCCGAAACACGCATTGGATGGCTTGGGAATGTTGACCTGTGCGGGAGGGGGCAAGGAGGGGAAGAAGAGAGAGCGAGAGGAACACGTTGAATTGAATGGTGTGGCGTTGAGACCAAAGAAGGTCCACCCTGTGGTCTCGTCAGAGCCAAAACACGCGTTGGACGGCTTGGGAATGGAGACCTGCGTGTAGGGGAGGGGGAGACAGGGCGAGAAAGGAGCGTCTGCCTTGCATGCTATAGTGTTCCAGTGGAAGACGGGACATCGCTGGTGCAAGATGCATCGCTGGTGCAAGATGCATCGCTGGTGCAAGATGCATCGCTAGTGCAAGATGCACCTTCATATAGCCGGGCCATGTCGATGCCCCCAAGCTTCCACTCATTTAGCCCAGTGCCGCACCCGCGCCATAGCATAGCCCCACTCTTCACTCATTCTACAAATAAATTCTTTCAGCCAGACCACAACCGCACAGCCAGCACTTCAATAGCCCCCAGATTCCAACGCCAAGGCAGCTCACTGCACCCCTCGGCATACCTCCTCACCGCACTCCACCCCTCACCGCACCTTCCTGTCGAGCCACAACCGCACTGCGAGCACGTCAATGGATCCCAAATTCGCCACACCAAGAAACTCCCGTCTGCTGGACAGTGCTGGGCTGAGGAGCGGGGGGGGGGGGGGGGGGGGGGGGGGGGCAGAGGCGAGAGGTTTGGGGCGAGAGGGAGTGGAGAGTGAAGAGCAGAAAGGGCTCAAACACAGATTCGCCACGGCGAGAAGCTCCTGTCTGCTGGACAGCGCTGGGCTGATGGGCGGACAAGGGAGTGGGGGTGGAGTAGAGGAGAGGGGGAGGGTCGAGCAGAGTGGAGAAATTGGGAGTGAAAAGCACAAGGGAGTGAAAAGCACAAGGGAGTGAAAAGCACAAGGGAGAGGCAAACAGAGGGGCAAGAAGCACACGCTATGACAGCCTTCGGAGGGAATTCATGGTGTGATTCATGGCTGTATCTTAGCCGCAGCACCATGCACTCACCTGGAGGCAAAACTGTGGTTGACTCAACTCACCTGGATGAGACGATGTTCTTGAGGCCTGAAATACCCACAGCTGACACCACTGCATCCGCTGCAAACACCTCGTCACCGCACACCACCGCTGTCACTCTGTCCGGATCGTCCTCAGCCGTTGCAATGTCTGGCGCAGGAGGGAGGCGGCGAGGGAAAGAGTTAGGCCCTCGTAATGTAGGGAAGGTGTAGCTAGACTGAAGATGACAGGCCTTTAAATCCCTTATCAACCGCACAGCACACCAATGCCGTGACCCTATCAAAATCGTCCTCTCCTCCCCCCCCCCCCCCCCCCCCCCAAACCTCTCACGAAAACACTGCCCATCAATCCTCCCTACCCTCTCTCCCCCTTCCCTCCCCCACATCTTCGCCTCTCATCTCTCAGTACCCCGAATTGAGAATTCTCAAAATCAACCTCTCATCTCACAGTACCCCCAAACCGAAACGTCTCAGAACTCACCTCCGCAATGCTCAGTCCTCAGAACTTCTCAGTACCCTGCAGTACCCCACAGAACCCCACATCACCCACCTGTGACGCGGCGGTTGGGCAGGAAGCGGAAGTTCCCTGAAGCTTCCATGGTCCGAATCCAGGGGGCGAAGATGGTCTCGCCTACTGTGCCTCTGCACCACACCACGTCGAAGTCAGCCTGAGCGTGAGGAAGGGGACGTGCGAAGGAGGGAGCGGGGGAGTAAAACAATGTGAGGAGGTTTGAATCCAAGGAGCAAAGATCCAGGTCTCGCCCACCGTGCCTCGGCACCACACCACGTCCAAGTCGGCCTGACGGTTTGGGGGGGAGGGAGGTGCGAGGAGAGACTGGGGGCTTGAATCCAAAGGGTTAAGGTGGTCTCGCCTACTGTGCCTCTGCACCACACCACGTCAAAGTCGGCCTGTTGTACGGAGGGAGGGGGGAAGGGAGAAGCGAAGGAGGGGAAGGGAGTGGCAGACTGCACGGAGGAGGGGCTCGGATCCAGGGAGCGAAGATGGTCCTCGCCTACTGTGCCTCTGCACCACACCACGTCCAAGTCAGCCTGATCAAGGATGGCCATGCAAGGGAGGGCGGTGAAAGGAAGGGAGATGCAGGGGGATGAGGGGGGGAGTTCAAGATGCTTGCATCCAGGGGGCGAAGATGGCCCTCGCCTACTGTGCCCCGACACCACACCACGTCCAAGTCGCTGCATTGCTCGCCAGGGGCGAACAGCCCCACCAGCAGCATGGGGTTGATAGTGTGTGGTTTGGCGCAGTGCGGTCTGATGCGGTGCAGTGTGGTGCGTACCTGATGCGCGAGAATGAAGTAATAGAGCATGCCGAGGGTGGCAGCAGCGCTGCACTGCTCGCCAGGGGCGAACAGCCCCACCAGCAGCATGGGGTTGAACGCTTCCCTGTAGACACGGTCCGTGCACCCATACTGCTTGAACAACTCCCTTGCCGTCACTGCAAATGGTCAGGAAATACAATGTGGTGCAGTGCGGTGTGGTGGGGGGAGGGGGTGCAATGGGGTGCAGTGAGGTGTGGTGTGATTTGGGGGCATGAGGAGCGAACAGCCCCACCAGCAGCATGGGGTTGAATGCTTCCCTGTAGACGCGGTCCGTGCACCCATACTGCTTGAACAGCTCCCTTGCCGTCACTGCAAGATAGAATGTGGTGGAGTGCGGTGGAGTGTGGTGTGCATTGTGGTGTGCAGTGTGGTGTGGGCAGGTGGGTGGGTGCCATGAGAAGCAAACAGGCGAATGGAGCGAGGAAGGAAGGGCAGGAAGGAAGAGGGAGGGTTGAGGGGGGACCATGTACGGAGAGTAAAAGGAAGAGGGAGAGATATAGAGAAAAGAACGAAGGGAAGCGGGATGAGGACTCACATCTGTCGTATCGTCGCCACGCGTCGTCACTGTTGTCAAAGTCAATCACTGTAGACAGACGCATGGAGGGAGAAAAGCAGATGATAGAAGAGGGAGCGATTTAAGGAGGATGCATGTGCAGATTGCAAGAAAGCAGGTGATAGAAAGCGAGATGCACGGACGAAAAAAAACAAGATGCAGCTTAGAGAAAGCAGGGATCGGTCAGAGAAAAGCAGGGCGACAGACAGTCACTCACTGGCATACATGAGGGCGAGCGCTGACAGCCTGTCCACCAACGGTAGGCGCTTGAACTGCCGGGGGGCGGGGGAGGTGGAGCGAGAGGGAGGGGCAGTGGCAAACACGAGTAGTTAGACGTGTCAGCACCACACGGCAGGCCCTTGCAGTGCAGCACTCACTGGCATACATGAGGGCGAGCGCTGATAACCTGTCCGCCAGCAGCAAGCGCTTGAACTGCAGGGGAGCGGGACAGCGAAGAAGGGGCCAGCGGCAAACACGGGTAGTGAGACCTGTTGCCGCAAGGCAGTCTCTTGTCTTGCACCACAGCAGTGGGGAGTGCGGACTCGGCAGGCGGGGAGGGTTGTGGAGGCCCTGGAAGATGGGCGAGTCCACCTCCACGCCTGCAGGCGAGCACTGCGCTGCGCTGACCTGACCCCCACCCAAACATGCAGGGCACATGCAGAGGGAAGGAGGGATGCAGGCACCCACCTGCGTCCAGTCAAATGTTCCCAGCGGGGACGGACGTCTTGGAAGGCCCTGGAAGATGGGCGAGTCCACCTCCACGCCTGCAGGCGAGTACTGCGCTGAGCGAGTAGCAGCAGGCGCACATTGAGTATTGCTGCATGCCAAACTGACCCACCGGCCACCCCACACCCACCTGCGTCCAGACAAAAGTGCCCAGAGGGGAGGGCAGCCTCGGCAAATCCTGGAAGATGGGCGACTCCACCTCCAGCCCAGCAGGCGAGTACTGCGCTGAGCGCGTCCAGTCTGTGAAGGGCTTTAAGCCCAGCTCGTCTGTTAGAGCAAAGATGTTCCTGTAGGGGTACCAGAAGCCTGGGGGGGTGGGGAGAGGAGAGGTTGCACACACACCAGACCTATCATTGTCTCACCATGCATCCCCATACATCACTTCTCCCCATCACGCACCGAAAATGCCCAGCCCCACCGGATCCCATTATCCCATGAACCGCCACCACTGCATCACTGCGTCACACACCACACCAAGCATTGTCCCCCCATCCATCTCCACCCGTCTCCACCCATCCACAAACATGTATATCCCCCCTTACCGCACTTCACCGCACGCACCGTGAATGCCCACCTCCACGGGCTTCCCCTTGTCGCTCCGCCACCCCGCCACCAGCCCGCCCGGCTGCCGCCCCGCCTCCAGCAACGTCACATCATACCCCTGCCACGTCACCACCGTGCCACGTCAGTATGAGACTCTGAATTCACGCGCAAATGGCGCTGATAGATAAGTTCATTTTCGTCCCCATTCACACAGTGGCGACAGTGGTGGCGACAGCGGCGTTCAGGTTCAGGGCGGCGCACCTGCTTCGTGAGGTGGTGCGCGGCGCCGAGACCAGCCCACCCCGCGCCGATCACGACCACCTTCTTGCCGTCTCTGCCGCCGCTTTCCGCGCTCGCTCCCGCCAACGCAGCTGCTCCCTCCGCGTCTTTCGGTAGAGATCCGTTCCCGTTGCCGTTCTCACCGGATAACCCCGTAGCCGTCACTTTGACGGCCCGCCGGTAACTAACCGGCCGATCTACTAGTCTGGGTTTGAGCGAAGATCGTTTTGTGAAAATTGAGAGAGACGGCCTGCCCGTAACTAACTGACGGTGTGCCATTAGCGACGGATGGAATTGAGAGAAATTGCGGGAATTGCGGGAGAATTCGGCGCTCGAAGGGGCCAGTGAAGGTGCTCGTGCCGACGAGGAGGCCACTGGTCGATAGTCCGTGGCCGCACGCGGCGCGGGAACGGGAAGTCTAAGCTGAGTACACGCGCCGCCTAGGGCCGCCATGGCTATCTCAGAAAGACGATAACGAGGAAGGAGTTAGTTCCTGTGGCTGCGTGTAAGGGAAATGTGGAGCGTACCGAGTGGAGCTATCACATTCACATTGGATTTTTGCGCCTAGAGATCATCGATCAGTTGAATCGAGGTGATGGGCACGTTCATGCACCTTCACTTTCACTATTTCTGGACAGGCGTGGCACAACAGCGAGCGGCCACGTTGCACGAGCAGCCCACTTGCTTGTCAAATGTTTAGCAGCTTGAAATTTATACCAGAAATTCTACTCGAACAAGCACGACTATACTTGAACAGGATCTGTTCTATAGTTCGTACAATTCGTTGTACCTCTGTACAACGGCCCTAGTCATCTACTCGGATGATGAGCCGAGGCTTCCAGCCCAGAGCGCGAATACTGACTGGACACGTGTGCCGCAAGGCGTACTACCGGTCTCGATGAACGTCCCACCCGCCCATTCCGCGGGAGGTTGACGGGCCGGAAGCGATCTGACGAGCGACTCTTTTGCTGTCGCATTCGGTACACTTCCTCCCACAACTTATTTTCCTCTACTTTCCTACTCATCAATTGCTTACTACTGTATCTCCTATTACTTTTCTTAATTTCGGAGTTCCGTCTAAATTCGAGCAGTCCAATAATACGATGGTCGTTTTGGAAACATAAGTACCCTAATGGTCGGCCTTCATGAAGTACCCCAATGACAGAACATAAGTTGCAGTTATAGGTTTACCACATGAATCCGCTCTATTAGAATCTTATTTTTGTCTTGATTTCATTTCAGTACCGGAAACCGGACTCAATTGCGGAAGGGGTTCCAACGTACATTAGCGCTGCATTCTGCAATGGCGTATGTCCGCAACGCGACGACATCCATTCGTACATACATGCACTGTGTGAGGCGGCCCTTATGACTGGGCAGCTGTCAATGCCAAAAAATGCCTTCCCGCGCCATACGTTAGCGTGTCATCTGGTCGGTCAGGCATCGTGTTTGCCTCACCCCCAGTAACATTCTTGTGGTCAGCAGCTACAACTGTTTCTTGCGAAAGAAACTCCTCATCCTTGCCCGCTCTGCGACCGACACGACAACCTTGGCGAATGTAATTGACGTCGGTACGTGGTCTGCGAAAGACTGAACAGGTTGAAATGAATGGGGTGACCAGAACTACGTCTACAGAGGAGAGTGGACAGCTGACTGAAGGGAAAGCTATGGTCTGTTCCAGGCACACCTCCATTCGTCTTGAGACTTCCTTTCAGCCTCGACATTTCCTTCTTGCTGACGAACCCAACGTCGCTGCTCGATAAATGGTTTGAAAGACAGAATCAAGGGAAGCGTATGGCATGATCAGGTCTGCATGGCGAGGTTACAGAAGGAGAGTTCCCCCAAAAGTGCTCGCCTTTCCAGCGGAGATTATAATGACCGCGATTCGTAGGCATGTCGAGACTTCGTACCGCTACCAGGTCCGGACCCTAAAGCGAGTACAGTACCAGAGCGAGCGAATTCGAGAGCGTAGCTTATGCCCTCCGCCCTGTGTCTCTCCGATTGCCCGAATCTGACTCCGTGCGATCTCACTGTGCTGTTGTCAGCCGCATGCTCGGTCGCTTTGCAGTTCATGTGAAGGACAGCGCGACACCCGCAGATTCCACGTCAGTCCGATTGTATTCTCGAATCTTTGCGAGTGCAGCTAGCTCCTCCCTATATCAAGGGCCACAAAATCCTGTCACCCGGCTCTTCCGCAGCGTCGTCCGAAATCTGGCTCTTCACCACGTCCTTATTTTCTCGAAGCGTCACTTTGGTGGTGGTTGTCGTCTCCTCTTCCCGCATGGTCGACGCGTCACATTTATTCCACCTCTTCTGCCCGTCCATCCCTCGACGCGATAACAGCCACCAATTCAAGGTGGCCGTTTCCCGCTCTCAACCCGGCGCTCCAGACCCGGAGATTGCTTCTCCGACACGCATTCCTGCACGCTTTCTTGTTCCGTGACGTACACGCTTTCTCTACAGTCCTAGTATTTATTGTCGGACACGCCCGTCGCCAGCTGTACAGCCTCTAGCAAACGGGCGGCCAGCTGTCTGCAGCACGCAGCATTCGGGAATCGAGAAAAGGAAACCTGCGAGAAGTAGCAGGCAGGCGGGAGTCGAGCGGGAAGCTGCGAGAAGCAGCAGGGAGGCACGAGGAGCAAGCAGCAGCTGGCAAGGACCAGAAGCATGCCCGCCTGACTGCCTCCACTCTCTCGTTTTGGACCTTTCTGTCAGCCTGTTTGTCTCGTTCAGTCTGCCTCACGTGACCTAGCTGCAGTTTGACCGAGCCAGGCAGGCAGTCCTTAGGCGCCGTTCCCGAAGCGCCAATCCCGAGCCATTTCCCAGGCGCCGTCCCCTCCCGAGGCGCCATGCCTGCGAGGTGGCTATGGAAGTTGGTTGCTCCGCGCCTGTCTCCCCGAGAGGCGCTCAATCGCGACTCTTCTTCCGCCGAAGGGCGGGATGGGGAATTACGTGAGGGACGGGAAGGGGGAGCACGCGAGGAACGGGAAGGACATCATGTGTCATTCGCTACTACCACTGCGACTGCTTTCACGCATGGCTCACGGCAACAGCCCTCAGACTACAGCAACTCACGTGTTAGACGCGGCGAGACAGCCGTTGATTGCACCACGAGCGGCGGATCCAACGGCGTGGGTCGTTTTGAATCAAGCCTTGCGTCATGCACGCCCTCGCGCCTCGATGTGTCCGGTAATCCCTTCGCGAGGTCTCGCGCGGCTGGTGATTCACCCAACGAGCCGGCCTCGCTGTCCCATAGGCGGGGATTAGAAGGCGGCGCGGGGATTACCAGGAGGCTCGAGAGCGTGGGGGAGGTAGCTCTTGAAAGCGTGGATTTGCAACAAGTGCGGGAGCGGCGGCGCCAGAGAAAGGAGCAGCGCGCGCTTCGACAAGCAGCGGCGGCGGCGGCGAGCGCGCTTTCAATGGGGCGGACAAAGCCGACTGGGAGCAGTAGCTCGGAAAACTTGGCGGTTTTCGCGGGCGCTGCTGACTCGGAATCGGCATCATCGACCCCGCGAGGGCCGAGGCAGCGAAGCTTAACGACGTCCGCGGTCAGCGGGGTATACGATAGCAAGAAAATCGGAGACGTCATGAGATTAGGTAGCGGGATCTTACGCGGAGAGACGCGCGGCGATAGGGGGGCGACGACGGCGCAGGCGGAACGAGAGCAGGAGCGCGATGTCCGCCGGCCGCCCAGCCCGGGGTTGGCAAGGCGGACGGTTGGTTGGGGGACGGGGAAAGACGCGGGGGAGAGCAGGGGCGGGAGCTGCAAGGAGAGTAGAGGGGCCTCGCGCGTAGACAGGGGGAAAGGCGAGGGGAAGTCAGGCGCGGAAGCGGAAGATTATAGGAGCGTGGGGCAATGGATGCGCACGCGCGTTCACAAGGCAAGAGATGCGCGGGCAGCGGGGAAGGCGGGGGGAGCGGACGGTGTTGCGCAAGGGAGAGTTCTTGTAAGGCGCGCCACTGTCGGAGGAAGCTGCCAGGTGGCTGCGTCAGCGAGCGCGTGGTGTGATGACGTGGCAACGGGAAGCGGGAAAACAGGCAGCAAAGAATTGCAAGAGAGCAGCGACAGCAGCAGCAGGAAGGAACGGAACAGCAGCAGCAGCGGCAGGAGGAGCAGTAGCAGGAGACGGAGGGGACGAGGGAGGAGAGCGAGGGAGGGGAAGGTGAAGGGAAGGGAGGAAAAGGATGAGGACTGGAGGCTAGCGGGGGAAGCTATGGCTCGAGTGGAGACCGGAATGTTTGGACATGGGCAGCACCGGGGCAACGAAGGCATTGAGGGACTTTTTGAGGGTGGAACTGGCGACAGGAGTGGCAGTGGGTGTACACATGGGATGGTAACCACCTTTCGCGTGTTTGGCGCAGCTCAAGACCTTGCAAGCGCGCCAAGTGGCCTGTGCTGCTGCTGCTGCTGCTGCTGCCGTTGCTTCTGCAGCTGCTGCTGGTGACGATACTGCGTGTGGGGACGGCAGCACCAGATCCGGTCTTGCCGATGATGCTGGGGCCACTGATACCTTCAGCAGCAGCGGCAGCTCCTCACTTCTGACCAGCGTGGAAAAATACTCGAGCTTCAGCGATGTTGGGGCGATCGCAATCACAGGGCACAGAAGCCACCGCACGGACAGCCACGCCTTTGTGTCTCGCTCCGAGGCATATTTGGACGCACTGTCAGAGGCCATAGCTGCCGGCCTGGCGTCGCGAGCCGTCACGTTCCTTGCCGACCAGATTTCGTCCGGCCAGTGGGATGCTCCGATGCCTCCGCTGCAGCTGGACCAATCAGAGGGCCGCTCTGATTTGCCACACCCTGTAGCAGCAGCAGCAGCAGCAGCAGCAGCAGGAGAGGACGATTTGCTACACCCTGTACCCCTTGTAGACCTGGTCCAAGATGAGCTCAAAGTAATCGACAGCAGCAACCCCTACGATCCAGGCACCTTGGAGAAAACATCATTATCCATCCCCACCCCTTTCAACCCCGCCACTACCACCACCACCGACAGCAGCAGCAAGCATTTTTCCAGTGAATTGGCTAGCACCCAGACACCTCGGGCAGTTGTTACAGATGGGGTAACCGCACGGTTGAATGCGGTAACCAAAGGCGCTGGTCACGGTCGAATGAGCGCGCGAGTGAGCCACTCCGGGAGGAGGGCAGGGGTAACAGGGAGGGTGAGCATAACGGGCCGGTCTAGCAACAGCCTGGGTCGACCCGGTACTACCCATGGTAACAGGAGCAGCACCGTTAGAGCGAGCCCTCTTAGCAGGGAGAGCACTGGGAGAGGAACTTCTGTGGTCACGACTCGTGCTGGTAACCCAGGTGAAGGTTCAGGTGGTAACTCAGCTGATATTGAGCCTCGTGTCACTAGTCCACCCAGCATTGCTGCTCCTGCTAGTAACCCTGTTACAAGCCACGCTGGCAACGATGTGTTTGGCCGCAGTGGTAACCAGGTTACTGCCACCGCTGGCCGTGTGAGCATCACTGGTCGCAGCAACGTGACTGGGCGGCCATCCATTTCCGGGCGGCCATCTATTTCCGGGCGGCCATTTGAAGGGTTCAATGTGCGGCCCAGACGACGGTGCAGCATGGTGTGGGCGGCAGGGGGTGCAGGAGGAGCAAGTGGAGGAGGGGGAGGAGGAGGAGGGGGAGCTATAGGGCTGAGGAGCTATCTGCTGGATCCGAGGCAGCACCAGCAGTACCAGCAGCACGTGCAGAGGCGGCTAAGCGGCCAGAGCAGCAGAGGAGAGGAGGAGAGAGAGGTGTGGGAGGGTGAGGGTCAGCTTGCAGCAGATGGTCTTGCTTTTGGGAACGTACAAGGAGTGCAAGGGGGAACGACGCTGACTCGTGCCAGCCTGGGTCTGGCCCGTGATGAGTCACGCATGGGATCGCTGACGCCGAGCGACAGGTCAGCGCTCGATGAGTCGGTGTTTGTCGGCAGTATTGGCCACCTGGCTTCTTTGGGCGGCGCGTTGGCAGGAGAAGCTGTTGCCGCAGCCCCTTCCCTTGCTGACGTGACGGTTACTGGCATGCCTGTGGCCTTTGGCACCCCGGCTGTCGATGCTGCTGCTACCACTGCCACTGCTGCTGCTGCACCAAACGAACCTAAAAAAGATTCTCCCGGACCTGTCTCCAAACCTGCCGGCCAGGCAGCTTCTGCTGCAGCAGCCAGCCTTGTCGAACCTGCTCATCCTTTTCCGCGTGCTCTCTCAGGTGACTATAGCGAGCTGGGTGCGCCTGTAAAGAGGACAAGCAGCCGGGCGGATCGGTTAAGAAAGGAGGTGGCGGAGTGGAACGGGGAGTGGGAGGAGGATGCAGCAGCAGCAGCAGCAGGGGATATATCATTGGTGTATGAGGGGCAGCGGAGTGGAGGGGGAGGTGCGATGGAGAGAGGGGTGGGCAATCAGGAGTCGGAGCATGGTGCAATCAGTGGGACAAGATTCACTCAGCGGTTCAGTAAGCAGCACAGCAAGCAGCACAGCCAGCAACACAGCCAGCGCCATTTCCTTCAGCACAGCAGGAAGCAGAGGGCAAAGCATAAGGACAGCAGCAGCGGTGGCCTTACCACCAGCACCCGCACGAGCAACAGCAGCAAGCACGTGTATCCGCCCTCCACCCCTGCGCCTCTCTCCCACTGGCGGCAGTTGGTGATCTGCCTGTGGTGTCTGCTGGCAGGACTCGCCCTCATAGCTCTCATGTTGCTCATCGGAATTCTCGCTATGGGATTCGGGGCTGGGGCGGGGGCGGGGGCAGCAGCAGGCGCAGGGGGTTTGGCGGTTGGAGTGGGAGGGGGAGTTGTTCTGGAGCCGTGGGCGCACGAGAGGCACCCGCTGCTGCTGCAGCCACAGCCGCAGCAGAATCAGTATCAGCATCAGCATCAGCATCAGTACCACCACCAGCAGTACCAGCACCAGCAGCAGTGGCAGCAGCAGTACCAACAACAGCAGCAGCGGCAGCAGCGGCAGCAGCAGCGAGTGCAGTTTGGATTCGGCTTGCAGGTATCCTCATTGGTGACAGGATTCGCGGGGCTGAGTTTTGAGTCGACTCATTTGCGGGCTTGCTGTCTTTTTTTTTTTTTTTTTTTTTTTTACCAGTATGCCAATTTTCTTTTACACTGCTGCTCTGTGAAACTGTCTGATAACCTGCTTGCAGGTATCCGTCGTGTGTGGTGGCCTGCTCTTCGCAATCGCGCTGGTGACGTGCTGCCTGTGGGCCATGTGGGAGGTGGCGGAGCGAATGGAGGCTCAGGCGGCCAGGCATCTCACAGAGCTGGCTGCTGCCAGGGCCACCCAGGAGGGGGCGATACGCGCCAAGAAGGAATTCTTGGGTTGTATTTCGCACGAGATTCGCACTCCTATCAACGGGATTATAGGTGAGCGTACAGCGTGTGTGGGAGTGGAGTGAGGGGCTCGGTTTGTAGTGGCTGGTGAATGGAGGCTCAGGCGGCCAAACACCTCACAGAGCTCGCTGCTGCCAGGGCCACGCAGGAGGGGGCGATACGCGCCAAGGAATTCCTCGGATGTATTTCACATGAGATTCGCACCCCTATTAATGGGATTATAGGTGAGTTTCCAGCTTGTTCGATAGTAGAGACGGGGAGCGCATGGAGACTCAGGCGGGCAAGCATCTCACTGCGCTGCTCTCCTGTACCACGCACACCAACCTTCTACTCTCCCGTTCCTTCCCCTGTCCCGCTTCCTCAGGCATGCTGCAATTGTTAGTCGAAGAGTGTGAGCTGGATCAGGATCAGAGAGGCGCAATTGACACTGCGCTGCTCTCCGTTCCTTCTTCTGGCGCCAACCTTCTGCTCTTCTCTGTCTCTCTGTCGCATGTTCTTTCCCCAACCAGGCATGTAGTCGAAGAGTGTGAGGTGGATCAGGATCAGAGAGGCGCAATCGACACTGCGGGACTTTTGAGGCGCCTCAAAAGCTGGATCAGGATCAGAGGGACGCAATTGACACTGCAGGAGATGCTGCCCTCCCTTCCCTCCTCCGCACCCCCATCTCACCCCCACCTCCTGCTCTCTCCCTCTTCCCATCTCCGTCCTCCCCCGCCCCAACCAGGCATGTTGCAACTATTAGTCGAAGAATGTGAGCTGGATCAGGATCAGAGGGATGCCATCGACACTGCGCTTCTCTCCTGCTGGACTCTCACTGACTGGCTGGCAAAGTTTGTCTATTCTGAGGTAGGTATATCTACTGCGCTCTCCACTGCTGGCAGCAGTTCCCACCTGAGTGGTAACAGCGGCGCGACTGATAACAGTAACAGCTACAGTATCAGTAACCGTAACGGCAGCAGTAACGGTAACAGTGGGAGGAGGAACAGTAACATGTTGAGTGGCAATCGTGCTGGGGTGACCCATGCCCACGTCAGCAGCCCTGGTGGTGACGCCAGCAAGGGTGGTGTTCCTGTTTCTCGCTCGGGCAGCGGTGGCAAAAGTTTCTTACTGTTTCCTGCGGCTGTGAGGGTTTCGGGCAGGATCAGCCGGACGTTTTCGGGCAGACGAGAGGATATGGGGAGGAGAGCAATGGAGAGAGAGAAAGGGAGGATGGGTGAGGGGGGGAAGGAGAGGGAGAGGGAGAAGGAAAAGGAGAAGGAGAAGGAGAAGAGGGGAGAAGTTGTGAAGGAAGGGGAGGGGGAGGGGTTGAGTGGGAAGCAGAGGAGGGTGTCTAGGGTATGGTCTAGGAGAAAGAGCTACCAGAGACCTGCAGGGGCGAGAGCAGACAAGGCTGCTGAAGCAGCAGTGGCAGCAGCGGTGGCAGCAGCAATGGCATCAGCAGCACTACCAGCAGTGGCATCAGCGGCAGCAGCAGCACCAGAAGTGGCACCAGCATCAACAGCAGCAGCAGCAGCAGCAGCAGTGGTCGATGATCAAGCTGCGGCTGCTTATTGTTCTTCTAGTGCTGAGGCTGGAGGAAGGGAAGGCTCTGCTGCCACTGCTCTTGACCCTGTGCCGCCCCTTGCTGTGCCTCACACCCAGCACGCGAATGTGGACAACCAGCAGGCAAGCAGTTCAGGTGCAGCGAATGTGGACAACCAGCAGGCAAGCGGTTCGGGTGCAGTGAATGTGGACAGGAACCAGAATGACCCAAGCCCTCTGGGAGCCTCCTCTTCCTCCTCCTCCTCCTCCTCCTCCTCCTCCCCTCTTTCCCTCTCCACCTCCTCGTTCGCTCCCGCCCGTCCCTCACAGAACCCCTCACTCCTCGTCCCATCACTTCCTGAAAGCTTCTCGACCCTTACAATACCCCCTTCTTCTTCCCTTGCATCACACAAGCTCCCACTCCCAGTCCCCACCATCACTCCCACTCACCGTCCCACCTCTCCCCTCACTCCATCCACCTACTCCCTCTTTCCCTTCCCCATCCCAGCCTCCCCTCGCCCCTCCTCTCTCGCTCCCAGTTCTCTCTCCACCTCCTCCTCCTCTTCCTCCCTTGCTCTAACCTCTCCACGCCTCGTTTCCATCCCGCCTGCGGCTAACCCAGCCACTGCTGCGGCAGCAGCAGGGACAACAGTAGCAGGGGCAGCGGGGGCAGCGGGGGCAGCAAGAGCAGTTGCAAGGGCGAGTGGTGCTCCCTTCGTTGCAGTGAGGGAGGAAGCTGCCAGGGGAGGAGAAAGGAGAGGGACGAGGGAGGAGGAGGAGGAGGTAAGGGTGGGACAGTTGCTGGTTGGCGCTGCTAGGAGCAGCTCTGAAAGCTCTGAGGAGGCATGGCCGAACCAGGAGGGAGAGAGGCAGCAGCAGGAGGGAAATCAGCAGCAGGAGCAAGCGAGGGACCAGGGTTTGAGGGAACAGAACCCTTTGACTCAGCTCTCAGGTTCTGTGGGTGCAATCTCAAGCCTCTCATGGCCGATCGTCAAGCCTTTGGTCAGTCCGAGGCTAGACCAGAGGCACGGAGTAAGAGGGGAGGCTCAGACCCCAGAAGCTAGGTTCGAAAGTGGACTGGGAGGTGCAGTGGTGATAGCTTCGGCAGCAGCACCTACAGAAACAGCTTTGGCAGCAGCAGCTGCAGCAACAGCTGTGGCAACCTTATCAGAAGTGAGTGCAGCATCTCAAGCATCAGGGAGCTGCAGCCGCAGCAGCAGCAGCAGCAGCAGCAGTGGCAGCAGCAGCAGCGACAGGAGGAGCATCGGTACTTCCCAGGCTTCCGTCCCCGGTTCGGCAGAGGGTGAAGCAGCAGGCTCGGGCAGTGTTCCGATCCTTGACTCCTGGCCGGTGGGGCGAGTCGGGCAAGAGGGCAGCGGCTGCTGCTGCAGCGGCTGTGGCAGGCTCTCCTACTAGCATCACCTCTGATAAGACCAGTAGTGTTGGTGATTATGCTGCTAGTGCTGCCAATGCTGGTGCTAGCAGTGATGCTGGTGCTAGCCGTAATGCTGGTAATGCCCCTGCGTCTGGTGGTAACCCAGCTAATGCTGCTAGTGCTGCCTCTGCAGCAGCAGCAGCACAGGTAGAGGAACCAGCAGGGCAACGCGTGGCTGATAGTGATGGTGGTAACCAGTCTGGTAACCAGTCTGGTAAGCAGTCTCCCCTAAACCTCGCGTGGTACAGTGGTGCTGGTAACCAGCCTCTTCAAGCCATGGTGTGTGTGAATGACGGGGAGGGGCCCGATGCACGTTCAGGTGCTGCTGGTGCTGCTGCTGCTGCTGCTGCTGCTGAGACAAGGGAGGATGTAGGGTATGTGAGCGGTGATAGCAGTTATGCCAGTGGTGCTGGTGGGTATGTCAGCGGCGACGGTGGGTATGTGAGCGGTGGTGATGGAGGATACACCAGCAGTAGCTCCACTGGTGGCAGGGGGGTGGCTGGAAGCAGGTTCGGGGCTGGAAGCAGCACAAGCAGCAGCCAACACTCTGATGGTGTTAAGTTGGGCAGAATGGGGAAGTACCGGATGGGCAGCAGTCACAGCACCAGCAGCCTGCCTTGCAGCATTGTCAGTAAAGCGAAGGTTGTTATGGGTGATAGTAGCGGGGGCAGGGCCGCTGGTAATGCAAGGGTTGCCGCAGGCGATAGTGGTGGTTTCGGCAGTGTGAGTATGTCGAAAGCTGCTACAGATGGCAGTGATGGTAGCAGGATTGTGAGCAATGCGGGTGATAGTGGTATCAGTATGTCAAGAGCGGCTACATGTGACAGTAGCAGCAGCAGGACTGTGAGTAAAACGAAAGTTCCTTTAGGTAATAATAGCATTATCTGTTTGGCTAGGGCTGCTACAGGTGATAGTAGCGGTAGCAGGGCAGTCAATAAAGGGTCGCAAAGCTGGAATGAGGGGAGGAGTTTTGAGACGTCTCAAGAGTCTGCTACAGGCGGTAGTAGCGGTAGCAGGGCAGTCAATAAAGGGTCGCAGAGCTGGAATGAGGGGAGGCGAAGGGAGCGAGAAGGGTACCCTTCTGTCACTCACCTGAGTGCGCCTGGTGCTGCTGTTAGCAGCAGGGAGGTGTGTGTGAGGGAAGGTACAGCTGGGGAGGGTGCAGCTGGGGAAGACTTGTGGGGTGGAGGAGAGGTGGTTCCTGTGAGTGGGTTGGCTGCTACCCCTTCCTCTTGGTCCTCCGAAATGGATCTGTTGATTGGTGGCAGCTGGGGAGGGGATGGTGGGAGAGGTGAGAGTAGTGTGCGTACGTGGGAGGGGGATGGAGGGAAGCAGGACGTGAAGGATGGGCGAGAGAATGGAGAGGAGGGAGAGGAGGGAGAGGAAGAGGTAGGGGATGGAGAAAAGGGGGAGGAGGTGGAGATGAGACGAGCCAAGACTCTGGAAGCTGATTGGTCAGGGAGGCAAGGCGGGAGGAGAGGAGTGACGTTTGCAGAAGCAGATGAGGGGGAGCGAGCAGGGGAGGAGGGCGGAGGAAGGGTGAGGGAGCGGAGATTGGGAAGCAGATCGCGGTTTCCCGACATGGTACTGGCGGAGCGGCAGCATGGGGCCATGGAGCAGCACCATGGGGCCATGGAGCAGCACCATGGGGCCATGGATCCCCCTACAGGCTCAACCCACTTGGGGGTTACAGATGGGTACATGAGCAGTCCAGGCAGCACGGCCAGCTGGAGCAGCAGCAGGAGTCAGGCTCAGTCACACAGGTTCCCATCCCCATCTGGTACCTGGAGCCCTGCTGCTCCCACTGCTTCTCTCCCCACTGCTGCTGCTCCTTCTGCCATTGCGCCATCCGCATCGCCGTCCTCTTCTCCCTCCTCCTCGCCCTTCTCCCGTGCATTCGTTCCGCCGTCCACTCTCACACCTGCACATGCTGCACCTGCACCATCTGGTAGAGATCTTCTCACAGCCCTCTCACCTCGCTTCACGCATTCCGCGGCCCTCCCGGTGTCTTTCGCCTCCACTGCTCCCTCCCCTACCGCCTTTTCCCCTTCTCACATCTCACATCTCTCAGTATCTGCTGCTGTGCCTGCTACAGATGCTGTGGCTGCTCACGCGAGAGTAGAGGCTTCAGCAGCTGGGGTTGTAGCAACAGCGGATGTAGCATCAGGGGGTGTAGCAGCAGAATTTGTAGCATCAAGGGCTGTAGCGCTGCCAGCAGCGCTGTCCTTGACTGACCTGGTACAGGAGGAGCTTGCTGCTGCTACAGCTGCTGCTTTAGCTGCTGCTGGTACAGCTGCTGCTGGTACAGCTGTTGATCAGGGCATTTATGACGCAGAAGAAGACTGTGATGAGAGGGAGGAGGAGAGGAGGGAGCAGGAGGGTCAACGAATGGGTGGGGAAGCAGGGAGAAGCACGGAAGACAGAGGTAGCAGCGAGGGGGGAGAGGGGGCAAGAAGGCAGGACACGACCGAGGAACCAGGGCTCCTGGACCTCAAACCGGGGTCTGAAACAGGGAACCACCAGGGCGGCCCAACCTCCCCCGAAACTACGTGTGAAACCACCTCCGGATCACCCCAAACCTCCTCCGAGGGTTCAACTCCAGCACGACAGGTGGACGAACCGAGCCAAGCACCCGCCCCTCCGCTTTCCCCAAGGTCCCTCACAGCAAGGCTGAGAGGGCGGCGGGTGTTGGTGGTGGATGACAACGCGGTGAACCGCAAGGTGGTGCTGGCGAAGCTAAGGCCTTACGGCATGGTGGGCGTGCAGGCTGAGAACGGCCGTGTTGCAGTGGAGCGGTTTATAGAGGGGATGAATGGAAGCGGAGATGGGGGTGCAGCGGATGGTGGTGGGAGTGGTGAAGGGGGTGAGGGAGGTGGAGCGGAGGGGTTTGTGTGCGTTTTTATGGATCTTCAGGTGTGGATCCCTGGCTTTCATCCCATCTACCCACACCTGCACCCACTTCCATTAAGCACTTTCAATTTTCTACTCCCGCTTCCCCCTGCCGAGCACTGCGTGTTCCCGTATTGCATTCCAGCAAGTGTGTAATTCTGTGTTCCTTCTCCATCCCTCCTCTATTCATGACCATACTTGCTTTGATGACACACACCTAAACTTTCGTCAATGTTTTCCTGCTGCTCTGCAGATGCCGGTGATGGACGGCTATGATGCGACCATTGAGATCCGACAGTTGGAAGAGCAGATGGGGCGACACCGGGTTCCGATATTTGCAATCACGGCCGACATTGTGGCGGGAGCTCCTGAGAGGTGCCAGGAGATTGGGATGAATGGATTCATGACCAAGCCTCTTTCCAACGATCAATTGAAGGCCTCACTTGCAGTGGTGGCTGCTAACGTATGATCCGTACATTTTTTTCCACCCTTGCAAAAGGTCTTCGGAATATTTTACGGTAATATTCTGTGCTCCTACTGCTTGTGGATGGTGTACTTTGATTCCTGTGAATAATTTTTAATTCATACCGTTGTAACTGAAATGTGGAGGGTTTTCATTGGCTCAAGAAGAGTTCCAAAACTCGGCAAGAACACCACTCCCGTAATTCGTTGACTGGGTAGCGGAGCGGGAAAAGAAACCCCTGATTCATGGAGTGCCCTATGCTGTTGATCGCAGCACATGGTATGGTATCTGAGAAACGCACATTTCCTTATAACAGGAAGAATAAAAAATATTTCGGAAGCAATGGTAACACCACCGCATAGGTTCTGTTCGGGTGCCTCATGTAATCTACTGTTATTTCAACAATGCTACCCTTTCCCCAGCCCCGTTCCATTAGTCTGGAACAAGGTTAGATTTCTGAGAGCACACACTAAGACGCAGGTCAGTCTACCATAACTGCCATCAGCTCTTGCTTGAGGCGACTCAAGAACTGCTCCTGCTGCTATCCAGCAGCACCACGCTCAGCCGCACACACCCACGCGACATCACCTTATGGCAACACCACCACCATCACCACCACCACTGACAGCAGCAGCAGCAGCAGCAGCAACAGCAGCAGCGAGGTGTTCCTCTAGCGCAGCAGGGTACAAGCGTGGTACTTTCGCGAGCATGTTGTTGAGGCGCCTCAGGAGAGCCCCTCACTCACACCGAGAATCGTGGCTCTGCCATCTGTGCTCTGCCTCTCACGCCCTCCTCCTGCACTCCCCCCTCAAGCAGGCAGACAGCACAACAGACAGCACAACAGGCAGCACAACAGGCAGCACAACAGGCAGCATGACTGGCAGCAGCACGCAGCAACAGTCTTCAAGGCAGCAGCTACCTCCCAGCAGTGGTGCCTTCTTGAGAAGCACCCTTCAACAGCACATCACCTCCCTCCTCCTCCCTTCAAATATGCTTTGCACTGTCTTACTCCACTCTCCCTCATCCCTCCCTTCTGTCCATCCGTCCTCGCACGTGCGCTCCTCCTCTGCGTCCCGAACCAGCACAGCCCTCCCCATCTCTTGCATGCACAGGCAGAGCCAGAGCACCAACCCCCCTAGAGCCCATGCTCCACGCGCTAGTGGAACAACATGGCACAGCAGCAGCGGAATCTGCATCAATTTCCACATCCCACAACCACACGGCACAGTGGTGCGTTGAACACTCCTTCCTTCACCTGCCCGCACTCTGTAGGTCCAGGCCTCCGCTGCCCGCCTGCCCGGCAGCCCCCACTTCGTAGATTCTCCAGAGCTCCTCGGGGGGGGCGTAGGAGATGTTGTTCAAAGGCGCGTGCATGTCCATGCCATACACTCGCCTCACAATGTCGTACGTCTCCTGTGGACAAGGGGGAAGGGACACGAGCATGTGGGTTTCTTGAATGTGTGTAACAGAGGGTCTGTGCATGTCCATGCCGTACACTCGCCTCACAATGTCATACGTCTCCTGCAAAAAGGATTGCACACAACATGCATGAGATAAGAGTGAGCAAGCATGCATGTACATGCCATACACTCGCCTCACAATGTCGTACGTCTCCTGCACAGAGGATTGTGCACAGGCGGTGGAAGGGAGACGGGGGTGGCGGCACGTTCATGTGAGTGAGCTTGCAGGCATGAGGGATCCAGCCGTTGCTATGCTCTCACATGCTTCCTGGCATGGCTTGCGCGTGCAAAAGCGCCAGCTTTCATATGCCGTACACACTTCTCTCAGACAACTCTGCGGCCACGCTCACCTTGTTCGCGAACATGTGCTGCAGCGGATCTCTTGACTTGGTGAGGTGGATATTCCTTGCAAGACGTTCACCTTGATTGTTAGCATCCTGTAATTCCTGCATGCCCCTCACCTTATTGGTAAACATGTGCTGCATCTGATCTCTTGACTTGGTGGGGTGGATCTTCTTGCCAAATTCAAACGCATCGCCTGCATACTCCAAGCAAGTAGTTTCCATCTTGATTTCCTAGCATTCCACAACTGCAGCAACGCTCACCTTGTTTGTAAACATGTGCTGCATCTGATCTCTTGACTTGGTGGGGTGGATCTTCTTGCCAAAGTCAAAGGCATCGCCAGGGTCGCGGCCGAATCGCTGCATGAGGGCCTTCACGTCTGCGTCCATGGTCTCAAAGCGCCCCACGTAGTCATACTTGATGCGGTCCAGGCCACACAGGATGTTCTGCGAGAGTGAGAGTAAGAGCGTGAGGAAAGGAAGGGGGCGGAAGGGAGAGGGGTGAGGGGCATGCGGTCCAGCCCACACAGGATGTTCTGGTGGGCCAGAGGGGTGAACTATTGTGTGAGGGGAGGATGTGGTGGGGAGGGAAGGAACAACCATCCCTGCTTTCTGAGGAGCAACGTGCAAGGAATAAACACCTGAGTGCGAAGGTGCAAGCAACAAGAACTTCGAGGGAGAAGGGAGCAAGCAGCAAGACACCTGAGGGGCGATGCGCAAGAAGCAGGTACCTGAGGGACAGGGAGCAACCAAAGTACCTGAGGGGCGATGTGTTCATCGAGGAACCAGCGCCTGTCCTCGTCCCAGGCATCCCCCAGCAGTCGCACGAACTCATCAAACGACAGCAGACGCCCCATCTCCATCTCTATCTTGTCTTTCCACACCCCCCACCAGCTGCTCTTCTTCCGCCCCCCCACTTCTGCTGCTGCTGCTACGGCTGCAGGTGCTCCTGCTGTTCCTACCCCTTCACCCCCTTCCGCCCCTCCAGCAGAAGAATTCCCTTCGCTTGCCCGGAATCTGAGCCCGTCCAACGCCCGCAGCGCCCACAGCTGCCCGAAAAACTTCCTCGTCCAGAACTGCCGCCCGAACCCGTCCGGCCCGCCGCCCGCAACGTGCTTGTTGAGATACGCAGATACGATCCTCGTGAAGGGCTGCCGGACGAACACGAACCTGGTGTAGTCGGTTCGGGTGATGGCTCGGATGGCGTCAGGTTCGGAAAGCGAGTACCAAACCTCGGTGACGTTGCTGGTGGCTGGTAGGTGGGTGTCGAGAAGCTGGTTGGGGTTGGGGTGGTGGTGCTGCTGCCGGATCCACACCTTCCAGCTGGTGCATCCCACCTTCTGCACTGCACAGTACACCATGCCCACTGTGTCTGATGCGGGGTGGGCGGGGGACGGTGGTTTGGAAAGGGATGGGGAAGAAGGAAAGGAGTGAGCGTGTGACACCAGGTGATTCAAGAGTCCAGGGGGGAGCCAGACCTTCCAGCTGGTGCATCCCACCTTCTGCACTGCACAGTACACCATGCCCACTGTGTCTGATGTGGGGTGAAGCGGGTATGGTGGGGCGGGAGGGGAGGGGAGGAGAGAAGGGGCAGTGAGTAGGATAACAGAGGAGATGGGGAAGGGAGGTCGAGGAGTGAGCCAATGCTGTTCAGCAGCGGCGCCCACTCAGTCTGATGGGGGGTAGTGTGGCATGGTGGGGCGGGAGGAGGGGGATACGAGAGAAGGCGAAAGGAGAGGGTTGGAGGAGGGGGACATTGCTTTTTGAGAATTTTCAAAAAGCACATTCAGCCGGACATTGGGGATGGGGGCCAAGAGGAGCGAGACGGTGCTCGTCAGCAGTGACGACGATAGGGCACGAGGGCGCAAGAGGGATCAGCGCGTATAGCACCCCCTAGGCTCGCCTCAACCAGCAAATGAAGGAGAGCAATCGCCATCCACGATCAGCTGCTTCCAATACGGTGCCTGTTGATGGCGGCAGTATCTCTAATTCTCGTTGTATAGTTCACTTTCCCCATCGATTTTCATGAGCGTAGTCAACGAGGCCACTCACCATCCACGATCAGCTGCTTCCCAATGCGGTGCTTGTTGATGGGCACCATTGGCGGCGCATGGCACAGCCCGCGCTCCACCTCAAACACTCCTCGCTCCGCGCTCACGCTTGCGCCCCCCTCCCCGTTCCCCTCCCCGCCCTCCTCCCCGCTGCTCCCCTCCGCTGCCGTTGGCGCGCCCCCCGCTCTCCGCGGGAAGCTCTCCGGGGCGACCAGCACGTCGTGCACGAGGGGGGTTCTTCCTCTGGCGGAGGCTTGCGCGCGGATGAGGTCCGCCTGGGGGGAGTGCTGCAGGTGAATGAGCCCCCGCGCAGCAGACAGCGCGAACAGCTCCGCCGCTTCTAGTTGCGCGCACTCTATCCATGCGCCCACTCCCCGCGCCCCCTGCTCCACCCCGCCACCCCCGCCACTACCAAACCCTATCCCCCCGGCGCCTCGTACCCCACTCGTTCCGCCTCCCCCTCCGCTAATTTCCAGCCGCCTGTCGAACCAGCCTAGCTTTCCCAACCATCCCCGCTCAGCGATCTCCCGCGGAGTGGGTTCCGCGGGGATGATCGGCGGAGGGAGCGGTTCCCCCCACGCGGGGTTGGGGCGGCAGAGGGCGGAGCGGCGCAGGGTGGCGCGGAGAAGGTGCGGCTGGCGGGAGGGGTGGAAGGTATGCGCAACCGCCAGCGCCTGCGACGGCCAGAAACCCGCCACCGTCGCGTCGCCTTCGGGCTGCCCGAGAAAAAACCACATGAGACGGCGAGCCGTGCAGTTGACCGTGAATTTAGGGTCGCACCCGGTACAAAGGGGGGATAGAGGGGAGAGCGCTACAGGCTCCATATAAACCGCTGTGCTCTGCTGGACACGTGTCATGTTTTCCTTGGCTATCAGTTCCTGCACGGCTGTGGACGGCTGTAGCAGGCTGTAGCAGCGCTGCAGGGAAGTGTAGAGCTGGGAATCCTCCACGTCAGCAAGAGTGGCGGCCATGGGAGGGAGGGAGGCGGAGAGGAAAAAGCCGACGCGCAGGCGGCGCGGGCGATGCGCGGAGGGAAGGGGTTGGGAGGCGGAGGGGGAGAACGTGCCCGATAGTTTTTGCTGTTGCTGCTGCAGCTGCTCTTGAGATATCGGCTGGGGGATTCTCGAGTCAAGAATCTGTACGGATGAGCCGTC